GCGACGGAAACATGAGGCGGCCTGGTGCAGCACATTCAGTTGCCTGAGAACATCGGAAACGAGAGATTCAGCTGGGTTCCAGGTGAGTCTCTCGAAAAAACCAAATTAGTTTGCAAATGAGTGTATATTCGCTAATTTCGTGCAATTTGGTTTCAAGTAGAACATGAGTTTGACGGAAACCCGGGGGCTGCCCCTACCTGATGAGCCACAAAAAGGGCGAAACCGGTCGTGGGCTGTCGACGGATTTTCAGCAGCCTTACGAGTAGTACATTACAAAGTAGTGGTAATCGTTTAGCTGTAACACTTTTTCCATGTCTAGCACGAGTGCTGGATTGTAGCAGGTTACCCAAGCCTAGACAAAAACAGTTGAGATACCAGAGTTAGCTTCGAAACACTGTTTTTTCGGTCATTAGGTTCGTGCCTTAACCACTGAGCTGCCCCGAGCTCCTGTGGTCTCCTGCTTTTCCATCAGTTTGTGGATTGTTTACACCGTGCGTATGACTGGGTTCCTCGAAGCAGGCGATCGTCGGTCGTACGGAGGCCTAGCCTAATAAGCATTTTCCATAACTCGGCTGATGTAACATCTCATTGCTTACTTGGTACTCTACCAGATGTAGCCAGTGTATTCGTGGTTAACTTCCGAATCTTCTTCTTCCATACCTGGGGACCCCGTCTGAGATGCGTTCCAGAAGCGTATAGAAAATAAACCGGGCTATCTGAGTGGATGGATTTTATAACCATATTGCTTGGATTGATGCCGGGGTTAGATTCAGGGATCCCCTTGGCTGCTTTTTTCCGGCTGGGAAATGCATAACACCACGTACAGGAACGACTTGCATTCCCTAGGGGTCTGATCCACAAACAGCTTGCTTTTTGCTTGAGTGAAGGTGCTAGAGAGAATAACAGCTGAACCGCTACCTTGAAATGTTTTCTCCTAATAAGTTCTAGCTATTTCCTCGTCTTTTTTCTCTAGTAAACTGTGTTAGCTGGGCTCCTCATCCCTACGGACTGATGTTGGCTTGCGCCAGTTCGGATGGTACAATATCAATTCTCACTTCAGATGGTAGCAACAACTGGCATGCAGTCCGTATTCCAAACGCCCATTCGGTAAGTTCAGTGTGTTACCCAGTCAAGTCCAATCGTATAAACGCATTTCCTGGTTAACTGACCTTCACCCGAACGATATAGAGGTCTACGTTTTCCCCTTGAGTAAACATTTGCGAACATATCCCTTACAATTCAAGTAGAATCACTGGAGATTGTGGAAAACTTTACGTACCTTGGTAGTTGTATTAGCTCTGATGAAAGCGTGTCCGATGAAGTCAGTGCAAGAATCTCAAAGGCTCGAATCACGTTTGCTAACTTGGGTCACTTGTTGCATCAAAAAGGCATCTCACTGGATCTTAAGGGCCATGTGTACCAGGCTACTGTAAGGGCTGCGTTGTTGTATGGGTGCGGGACAAGGCTGTCTTGAGTAAGGCGGTGGTGCTCTCCCATTCTTGAAGTGAAATGGTCATAGTTGATGTTTCCTAGGTTTACTCCACAGTGAATAACATCTTCCGAATTGTTCAGTTTTTCAGCAAAGCTTGAACATTATGGAGGGTTGAATAATAATAATAATAATAATCAAGCAATTCACCTTAGTCTCATTTATTTCCCACATTAACACCCGTTCTACCTGCGAACAAGTGCCATGCCACACAAGGTTGAGGATGTTTCACAAAGGTATACCTCCCGTGAAACCTGTCATTGACAGATGGCGGTTTACTAGTTAGTCCGAGGGCAAAATTGACCGTGGATTATTCGTATGGTCCTGTTTGATATAAGTTGACGTTCGGTTTCATTTCATATTTCACACCGATGAGGAGGAAATAAGGGTAGGAGACAACGACCAGTGCTCAGCTAACTGAGTTCACTTTGCCCATTACCTGCCAGAATCATTCGTGCCTGACGAAATCGGTGGAACAAGTCCAATCTCTTCTGCACTTTTAGCGTTTAACGTGGTGATTAGATAGGTTCGAAGCAGCTAACTCTGATTACTTACACTTCCTGGTCCTGGTCTCAATATCGCACGTGTAACTTTGCATCTCACTTACGTTTTGTTGGAAACTCAAGTCTGTTTTGCATTCTCCATAGTTTAATGCCACAGACCGTTTTCCGGTTTCGACTGCACCACGTGTCTTCCGACTTCGATACGCATGAAAGTTCATTGCAAGCAAACTTCCTCCTACAATTACTACGGACAATTGAATTTTTCTGCTCAATACGTACGCCACCAAGAGCCAACGCCTCAGCGCCCAGATGCTTACTCTACTCATGAGTAGCTTAAGCATCCATTGGCACTCTAAAGCCTTAGTTCCTCCACGTCGTTGTTGCCTTCAATACGACTGAATCGTCTTGCATGTAGTGTGATTAAAGGCTTCACCATATATTAAAGCACTTAAGTTCCTTAATGTTCCTCTGGATGTACGTACGTCCGTTTCTTAAAGGAAACACCAAAAAAGCTACGTCCTATGTGACGAAGCACCCTTTCGTGTTACATGCAAGCAGATTGGATGGAATGGGTGGTAGTGACGTCTTGGAGAAACTAAGTTTTATATTAACTTATTGGAGAATCCCTTGCCATATGGCCGTATCAGATAAGGAGCCATTGAATCCGGGTTTCAGCTTGAACCAATCATCGGCTCGATCTTCCATGCGACCTATATACTGTGATCCTTTTAAATGAAGGGTGCTATAGAGAGAGGGGTTTTTCACTTTCTCACGTGGGTGGATTCTCTTCAAGGGTGCTTTCCTACTTGATACTGACTGACATTGGACATTAAGCAGAGCAGTGGCCTCAGTCTGTGTAGGGGTCTCCGGAGGGGCCAGTTCCGCATGCTATTTTTCTTCCATCATTAAAGCATGGTACTTTCATATCACGATCAGTGTAGCCCTTGAATAACAATGAGATAAATGTGATCCATGCTGGTCTAACTTCAGGTCGCAGCTTACAAGCACATTTCATAAGTCCTAGCTATTCGGTAAACAGGATGCTGGATGCGTCACTGGGGAAATTCATCAGTTTGGGAGTGACATCAGGAATAACTCAGCGAGTTCGAGATTAAGGAGTTTTAAAAGTAATGAAAGTGTCCTCTCTGGAGTTCATTCTGATTCAACCCATCCTATGTGACGAACAAAATCTTAAGAAATCACGTAAAATTACCCCGAGTGCTGTGTGAAACTTACTGGCAGTGATACCTCCCTGACGCTACCACGTTTGCATTTTTGGAATTGTCATTGAGACCAGTACTTGAGTGAAACAGTCTTAGAGGTTATGAGGACACTTCCTCTTGATTTAGTTCTCAATTTCGGTACCGGATGAAGATCGAAGGCCCGTTGCAATCTGGGCTTCCGACGGCATACGAACAAACAAGCGAATTTGCTGTTGATGACGGGTGAAAGTTTTTCCTTGCTTGGTGACCTCATTTTCTGGAGTTTGCTTCATTCTTTCTCTCGTTAAATTTCCTCTGTTGAAGCCTTAATGCGATGCCCATTTGTTTTCGTCCCACGAGCTGGTGTATTCGCCCGTTCGTGCTGTGCAGAGCATATTATTCTCCCTACTCATTGCTTTGCAAGTAGTATGGTAAGATGGCTCATTGTTTTGCAGAACGCAGCCTTACACTCCTTGCCAGATTTGTGCTGCTTCAAAAATGTGGGGCACTTACTTCCTTTTACGAATGTGACAGGAGAGTTCGAAAAGGTAACATTCAGCACAAACTGTCTTCTTCTATCGCTGTTTGCTGCTATTTCGCTTACCAAGGCTCCAGTAAATCGGTTTCGGTAACAAACTGACGCTAAATTACTTTCTCAGTCAGTTTTCACTACCGACGACTTGTCGGTCGTCCGTCCATTTAATTTCGGCACCACCGCAACTAAATGGGAGTACTAAAAATGTTCGCCCTTGTTCCTTCGTTCTTTTCTCAGTCAGCCCAAGACGATGCAATATTGGTCTTGTAAATGTATTCCCTGGGTAGAACTTCAGTGTATGCTATTCTACCCAGACCAGTCTTATGTAGTACAGAAGTCTCATGAAGGGGACACCAGACTATAACTTAGCGTAGCATAATCTCGGATCACTGTCGAAGTATGTTTAAGCGGTATTCGAGTATATGGACATACAAAACGATGATATTAGAAGTGAATGTGTGTTGCACCTCATTGCTGTGTGTATGCACATGATCCGGTCCATTACACTGTATTCCGTTATCTACTGAAGATACGCAGCGGACCACTTTTACAGCCAACTAGTGTTTGTATCGTATTAATCTTATTTACGGCAGCTGAATTTATTGGAGCACGCACCTGGGTTATCCACAGGTGGTCCGACTAAGCCTCATAAGCATAAGAGAATCCTACAGGAAGAGAGGATGAGAGGCCAGTACGGAGTACTATGTAGACCGACCCCTCCTTCCCACAACAGCCATTCTGAATAGGGATCATGCATTAATTTAATGATAAATCAATCTCCTAATAAGAAATTATCTACCTTCACATTCGTTGGCCTGCCATGAGGCTGTGATTAAATAAATGTGCGCCTCAGATTGCCAGTCCTCAATAGAGCATTTATCGTATAGATAAAACTATTTTTGCGCAACAAATGGTCGTCCTAGGGCAGTGGTTCCCAACGGGATAGATGCGACTTGGATGTAGGGGGAAATCGCCGTTTGTGTTCTTTTTACGTCGAACCTGTGACGAATAATCAAATGATACATGAGGCATATCTGACAAACGAGCGAGCGACAAAGTTTGAAAATTATCACATAATGTCAGATTTGGATTTGGCCCGCATTCATGTTAGACTGCGTAGCCCGACATGTTTGTTCAGCTTGTCGGCGTCTGATTTTGATTTTACCACACTGTCCGTTTGTTCACACGATGATGATTTGTACATCATTCCTCTGTCCCGATCTCAGGGCCGTTTACGTTAATATCACGTTATCCAATCCATCTATGGTTCACTCTGGGGGCGAGATGGTTCAACTGGTTAGAGCGCGAATTTACTAACCGGAGGGTCCGTGGTTCGAACCCGGCCTCTGCATCTCGACTTCCCCTGTCTAGGCTTGGGCAACCTGGCAGTATCCCAGCCCTCGTGCTTCCTTCGGGTGGCGTGACAGCTGGGCACCGGAAGGGTGTTGCAGCTGAACTCTTGCGTGGTTCTCTCTGTTGCAGCGCCCATTATGTAGTAGTTTGTTGGGTCTCTATGGGGAGAGATTAGCTCGCATTTGACTCCTGTGTCGAGGCGTTCACTCATTGGTCAGGATGATGCTGGCTGATTACATTCCATAAAGGGGGTTCTCCTTCATTGCTCTACGTAACCGTAACGTGACTTGAGTATCATTTTCATCTCTGGCTGCCACCCGTATACATCTGACACAGTGGACCGAGCTTCCACATCATTTTCGCCGTATTTTACTGATTCTACTCCCATACTGCCTTTAGCTTTGACTGAAAAATGGAAATTTCAGCCCTTAGCGTGTGGTCATCATCATCTGATGGCAGCAATAGTTTTCTGTCAGTTGCCCATGGTTGTGCTGGTTAGTCACCCTTGCCAGCCAGATATTTTGTGGACTATGGCGAGGGAATATTTGCAGTTGAAGACTAATAAACGCGCGCTGCGCCGTTTCATTTACTTTTCCGCTACTCATAGAACTAGCCAGAAAACTATTACAGGTTTTCTAGTAACCGATACCTCTGTCAAAATTAGCGGATTATGGTCACATTCTCCTTACAGAAGCACTGACTGCTTCATAATGGTTCACGATTCGGCTTGCCAAACTCACTCTCGTCTTCATCATTTATAGTAATACACTGATAGGTACACATTGCCGCCCAACTGTCACACAACCATAAGGCGAAAAGCAAACGGAAGACTGATCTTTCTCGATATGAGCATGTGGTTCACAATAGGTTGAGAATAGGTTTCTCTTTCTCCATGCTTGTTTTGAGGTATGCTTGATGGTTCACTCGAAGCGGCCTATGGCTAATGCTGGATTAGGTCGTCCGTAACCTTATCTCCTACTTTGTTTCCAGTGTACTAGCCCACAACGCTGGTTGGGATCGCATTCAGCAACCTCTTTGTTTACATATATACGCTCTGTACATGACAACTTATCTCTCTTTGTCCACATACCGTGCCGATGGTGTAGATTGACACTGTGACTTATCGCTCATCTTGATTTTCATGTGTTATTACCACAAGATCATCGGAACCTGTGCCTCATTGTTTTTTTTTCAATTCTAACAGATCGGTGTAAACAGCGTTTCCTGGGCCCCTGCAATAAACGCCGACTTTATGCTCAATCCATCGTCTATAAATTCAGTAAATCCGCTGATCAAGCGGTTTGTTTCGGCCGGAAGTGACTCGCTAATAAAAATTTGGCGGTAGGTCCTCGAGATAGTCTGTCATCTTTTTCAATCTGATTTGCCCTTTACGTTCTACATTCTTTACTGTTTGGATTATTTTTGGTTCGGTGGAATTTGCTCAGCACTCCATCCCCGCGCCGCTCAAATGCGGTCCCCGATTGAGACCTAGGCCAACCTCAAATTGCAATACTACTTCATTTTCACCTTTTATTTTCTAGCGGCTCCCCGCTTGTGTAAGCCCAACGAATTTGGCCGTTAGAAGCAAGTACATCACAAAGACAGAATAGTTATCAGTGGCTTACTTGGTGGCTGATGTCGCATACCTGGAGTGTAGTCACTATCCAGTCGCGATATCTGAAGTCCCATAGTGACGGAGTGTGTTCGCCATATCAAAATCCTGCCGACTAATATTTTTGACAGTTCCAAAATACCTGGTCGACTTACCGTCAAGGTAACACTACCACCCGTTATACTCATCTATTAATTCGGTCGATTCAGTCGAATACCTTTGTGGTCATGTCCCTCTGGACATCATCTTCATACTCAACCTTTGAGTGCATAGGATGATGTAATCCCAGCATCCACTTGGTGTCATTTTCACCTCAGACCCTTGTAACAGGCTCTGGGTTCGTTGAAAACTGTTTGCACAAATCAATAAGTCCTAGTGCATCCGTTATTTGTAGGTCGTGAGGCGATTTTGTCATCCTGAAAATGAAGCATCTCTATACTGAAAACAGCTCTACAGCTGTTTCATCCTTGTTGAGAAGCGTGAGCTGTGTATAACTCATCACTGGGCTTGTCACTAACCATTTATCACAAGGTACTGTATTCGAAAGAACTGGTGTACCATAATGGACTGTGACTAAACAACACACGCTTTTCGGATGATATAGTACTTCTGACACGTCTTTTCAAGTCGTATGCCTTACTTTATACTCCTCTCCATTTCTCATTTGGTTAGTTGGCGAAGTCTGTACATGAAACTATCTATATTCGTCCCTGGCCTGTTGTTTACGGAACTGAGTCTTTTTCGATGCAGAGCACATAAATATCAGCCCGGAAGCAAAACATTTGGGAATCGATCGTAAAGGGACTCGAAGGGTTAATTTGTGGGAGATCCCGGAAGTCGATAGGTCAAGATAGGTTGTGACATCGTTTCCATGATATCGCTAGCATTGTTACTTTGGTGAATTCCTTAAAAAATACCTCAGCTTGTGGGAATGTCTTTGGGTAACGATTTCAAAATTGTGCAGCCGTAAGCTGGCTAGCTTTCCGCAACTCTAGGGTAGGGTTTTTCGCCGAAATCTTCACGAGTTATCCACTACTTTACACTCACTCCCTACAGCGTCTAAAAGCTTCCGTGTGGTCCCTCCCCGCAGAGAAGAACTATTCTAGCTTCACTCCTCCCTCGCATGTAATTCCCTCGTGCACGAATCCGAAACCCTGCGTATTTTTACGATTCCTCGTCATCTCTACTTTATCTGCTTGTGTTTGATTAGACCAGTGTCAGTTGTAAAGCGTTCCGGGTCCCGTTGACTTTCTAAATAGTACTCTAGTCTGGTTGTCCACCTTGGTCTGTCATCATCTGACAGGTACCAAGCCACGCATCTACTGTTTTGGCTTTGTACTTTGATGGTCAGTCACTTATCTCCACGCTACCACTTTCTAGCCTGGTTACACTTTCAGCTCTTACAGAAAGGCTGTGGAAAGGAATCTGCTTCATGTTTCAGAACACTTTGAAAAATAATCAATGGACTGGTAACTCCTCGACAAGTTCCAAGCGTTTTCCATGTGATCGAAACCTGTCTCTACAACGGTCTATGCTTTGGATCACTTTCCTATCTGTTCGTGTGGCTGATACCTACATGCGATGATCCTAAGAACCTTCACATGGATACCGATGTTTGTAGTTTGGGGGAACTCTTCAACTCATCATCGTCAGTAATTGTGACAAGAATACTAGCACTGATTATCTCTACTCCACTACCGCGTGTGAAGGCATAATACAAGGCGAAACGGAGGCTAGCTTGGACTGACCTGTCACTGGCATCATCTCAAACACCGAGTCAGACGATCTGGCTAAAACTCATGTCAAGGAACACATTGGCATCAGTCACATGCAAGACTTCCGTGTCTTGAGGGGAATTTAGGGTTACGGAAATACTTCCCTAAAAGACGAGTCTGGGTTGATGACAACTAGATTTTTCACTGACCACCTTCATGTTGGGCTAACATCCGCTCTCTGGACTTGCCAGTCACACTGTATACTCTGATGGACATCCGCGTACAACGGGTAATACCAATGAAGCCTGCACTAAGCCGCTGAACTGACTACCCTATCCCCGTCTGAAACCGAAGGAATAAAACCGGAGAGTGAACAGAAATGGACAGTTCTGAAGCCGTTAGCGCACCCATCTGTTGACGCACATAGATAAGAACAACCCTGAAGTTTAATCCAATGGTAATCGCTTCAGATAGACCGGATGCTCACATTACTAAGAAATCTAACCCCCGTTGAATTCTCATAGCGTTCTGTAGTTAACCATGTTTCCACACGAGGAATTTGGCTAAAGAAGCATGTCAACTGGTCCCGTGTGGTCAGTTTGACCTGATTAGGTATAGCTCCTGAAATCAACAGAATACCCAGACAAACTGAACCGATTCGATAGACACCTGAAGAGTTCGAACGGATTATTCGGATGTTTTCTTAAACCCTTCAAACTACTGAATAGAACCTGGAATGACCTCAGTCACCTAAAGATATAAACGAGAGATTCAGTTGAGTCTCTCGTGAAAACCAAATTGATTTGCAAACGAGTGTATTTCTCGAATATAATGAGGTCTTTTGAGAGATACTCTCTGGACTGTTGAAAGAACAGCATAATCATTTCGTTTGGTAGTACGCTTCCATCTCCTCTGTGGAACATTTCGTTCCACACCATCTTCGTTAAAGCTGACGGTAAGGTTGTGTGCAAGTATCGACATGTTTGACAAAATGCAACGTGAACTGCTTACCGCTTACGTCATCGCCGATGGCCTGCAGACAGCACATCCAATCGGTCGGACACATTTTGCAACGCCGGCACGACGATAGGGACGGACTCTCAGTGTACTTTTCCGGTTCATTCGGTACAACGTTGATTCACCAACAACGCGACGTCAATGGCATGAGTTGTTCTTCGCCAGGTAAATCAAATCCAGTCGATTAAGCAGCGTGGTAATTGCTTCTTCTTGATATGAGAAAGTCGAATACCGCAGAAATAAGGATAAGCGGATCTTCTTATCCCAGTTCCGTCAGATCAACCGACATTCTAGAAAGTGCTCATCTCAAATCAAATCGGCACCCTTCATCCATTTCCTGACTGTTGTGCGGGGAACGCTGCGTCCATTGGTGTCACGATCATTTGCCACCATTGTCCGATTTTGTGAGGAAACGTTGGCGACCTCCAGCATCAGACCACTGATTATTTTACCGTCATCCGATCGGCAAATCCTCACTTCTGCTTGGTAGCACCTCACTGCTTATCATGACTTGATCATACTAATCCTCATCCCTCAGGGGTAGAGACCAATACGAACCAATTTTCCACCACCGGAGCTTTTGATTACACAAACCAACGCGATTCCTCTGGACTTGCTCTTGTAAACAAGGAACGACTGCTGCAGCCAATATCTTACACCTCTTTCAATCTGGCCGCCGGTTTTTGTTCAAGCCCTCCCCAGGGCACTGTACCATACCTGCCATTTTTATTCATACCTCCACCCCCAACATCACCACACCCACGGCTCTGGTGCCGCCCCTAGTCACTCTCCAGGGAATAATTAGAATATTGTTATGTCATTTGTTGCATCTCGGGTGCTCCACCACCACCACCACCACAACTATTTATCTCACACTGTGTATCTGCTTTGAACGAAGTCATGATGATTTGTTTTCTTTGCCTATAAGTGTGCTAGGTTGAGAGTAACGTCAGTTTGGGCTGTGCAATAGAACGAAGAACTGAAAATGCGTATTTCCCACAGGCCTCAGTCCAATCATGTTGTTTCAAAGGCAGCAAATCCGGCGTGTGTTTTCGAATATCGGCTAATGCTTTTAAGTCGTTCCAACTCCAGGGAACTTTTCAATAACTGGCGCCTTTGAAGAGCGAGATTGACGGGCGCTCTCGTATTGCCTGAGCCACAAAGCAGCGATAGATTAGTTGTGTCGAATTTATCCAATCAGCATTGTTGACGTCCCCCGAGAGAACAATGCGGCAAGTCGGGGCAGAAATGGAATTAGTGAATATTTGCTGTAATGCTCCAGTGGTTTTCGGTGTCTTTCGTGAGACTGAAAATGCAGACCAACCGTTACTAATCAGTTCAGGCTACCGTCGGTTGATCATTGACTAAGACTACATTTTCCCGCCAATCTACTGCTTTGCAGATGCCTTCCCAATTCACAACCTAGATAGAATGTGGGTCTGCTTACATTCGACTTTTGGCCGGGATGCCAAATAGATGCATCTCATCATAGACTTTGTGATAAATCTAGGTGATCATAGCCAGACTGTTTGTTCTATAGCCACTGCTTGGCCTATCGTCTAACGTGCCTCAGCTAATTCCGTTTCCTCACACAAACAGCCCGTGTATCCCCATTACTTTTGTTATCCTGGTGGAAATACCACTCGATACTATTGCTACCAAGGAGTAGCAATGGTAACATTCATATTCATCTTGCGAATCGAAATGATGTGGAGTGCGAAGATAACAAACTTAGAAGGATAGTGTACCCCCACCATTCATTGCGACGTCTGTCGTGTCTTAGTGGTCTGTACGGCCCCTTCCAATAAACATCGTTAATGGCCATCTTGGAAACTGCGGCCAGAGGTAGCTATACGAAAGGAACGAAGAGATTGTACGTGTTCCTTGATATAGATAAAATGAAGGTCGCTCATTAGAGGTAGAGCTACAAAACTGCTACAAAACTAAACATAAGAGATCACATAAACTCTCTTCTTCAGTCACATCAACAACAGGTAGTTGCAACGGAACCAAATTAAACGAGGCTGGATGCGATGGTTCATCTTTCTCACCTTCGCCACTGTATCCTTTGAGCTTTTGATCCACCACGGGCTTATGGGTACCTCTACCTTGTATTTCATCCGCTTTGCCAATCATTGAGGTTCAGATTCTTTTCAACCACACTCTGCAAATGGTTGTCCTCCCGACTAAATGGCACCACCTTTTGCGTCTCCTGACCTTCCTCTGAAATGGTCCCTTCAAAGGTGATCGTTATTTTCCGGACCGTTTTTTTCGTTCGTACATACTGTGAGCTCCTGAATTCCGGGGCGTCATTATTATTACATTATTAATATCACAGTAATATTATTAGGTGTAGGTGGTTGTGAAATTTGTAGAGCTCATATTTACCGTTTGAACAGTCCTCGTCCTTTCCTAGCGCAATTATTCTGATGTTTCGACATCATAAGAGGGAGTGTTGAACTCGAGTTTCGCTGTACACATCGCGCAGTCATCCATGGTTGTCCAGCAAGTTTCAAGCGTCGGTGACTCTCCTTGACTGGAAAGTCCTGACGGGTGGGTCAATCGATCATCACAACCAGGATGGTTACCGAAGTCATCGGGCAAACCAATCACATCGTTCATGCGTAAACACGTCCACCTGTTCAGATGTGATAATTCAGATTCCTTTGGTGTTCGCTGGTGGGATAGGGGAAAACGCTCGCCTCTCATTTTCAGACTCCGACACCGTCAAAGGCATGCACTACTTGTGAGCTCTCGAATGAGCGACACTGGAGTCCAATGCTTTCCACTTTGATGCGTGCCCACCATGCTAGTTGCGACAAAATAGGGGAGTACTGTTCAAACAGGGATAGTAGTGCTCTTATTACATGATCTTCCACCAAACGTCCTGCACATGAGGTCTTCCGATGAGTCAGGTATTTCTTACTGTCCAGCACTGAATGGAAATCGGATATCTGGAACTGTCGCGCATGACTTTTAGCTATACCACCACCGTTTGTTGCAAATCCTCACACGCCACAATGTTGCTGTCTAACCCAGCTTTGTCATCCTGTCTCCTTACCGACCCAGGATGTATTTGCGCCCTTAAATGGCGGTTAAAACACTGGAAAGGTTTATTATCTGAATCACTGTAATATCTGATAGACGGCCAATCCTCCGTTCTTCTTTATCGAATCAGCGATCAGGTGATTGACCCGAGCCGGTGATACGAGCTTTTTTATCCACCTGCCTGGTATGACTAAATGACCCGCATGACGCCGACTTAATCTCGGCACATTGCGTGGTTTTCGTGTTCTATCGACTGGCAGTCGCCAGTTGCGTAGGCCATCACTGGCCTCGCACAAGTGTGTCACTTCATTTTCTCTGGCGGTACATTATAGAAAGAACAGCTAATCTCTGGCACGGGTGCCAAGACAACGAGCACACATTGTTTACGCTATGGTTCGCTGCATACCGCCTGCCTAATAATCCAGCGCCGACGATTAACCAGCAGCTCCGCCCACATTGTACACTGCACGCATGCATTAACACCCGTCAGGTCAAGCTGAAAGGCACACCCACGCACCACAAGCGTCTAACACGAGGTTGTTCATGGCATTCCGTTGTGCACCAAAGAACGTAGCAGGCCTGAATACCTTTCGTACCTGACGTTCAGTGTGATTGCTCTAACACACGCCAAGCTTGTCAGTCTTGTTATGAGCTAAGCCCTTCTGAAGCCGAATCGTTCGCCCCGACTTTACGCTTCTTTGTGGTTTCCGCGTGCGATTCATAATGAGCACAAAACTTGTCACTGCTTGTTTCCTGGAACAATCCAATTCCTTAGTTGCAAATCTTTCTGCACTACATGGTCTCACCCAGTTGACGACGACCCCACAACCATGTCTACGCATGACATCGATTTTTAGCTGCTTCGGGTTGACAATTATACTAAACTCGACCTGTTACGCGTATTTCAAACATATATCGGTCTGTTGTTTTTCCAACAATGAACCAGAAATATTTTATTCTGCGTAACTATTACTTAGACTATCAACTGATATGAAACAGCGATGTCTGTTTCAAGCGAATACTTCATCACTCAGCTTGAGCCATTTGAAAACATTCTCAAATGGCTAACCAAAATAGAGAGAGCTTCACTACTCATTCATATTCAGAAGGAATATTGGCGTCGAATAGTGCAGCGTTAATAATATCTTCATTATCATTACTATTACCTATCATTAATGTATTGTGCCATTCTGATTAACCCATCCTCTCCTTCCACTCGCCTGCATTTATTATTACTATTGCATTGACTCTCCTTAACCATCGCTTTACCTTGACCTCAGCCGAGTGACTTGAATGTTCCCACTCCTATTTTGCTATTCTCGTCCCACTTGTCCCTATCGCCGCACGTGACCTGACGGTAAACGTCCTCAGATTGATGCGCATGTGACTGATGTCCCGAGAGTGGAGGCTAGGCAAGGTATAGGTTGTGCCGATTGTGAAGCCACTACACGGGACGTGACTCAGCCTGTGTATGGTCTGCGCTCGGCTAGGCTAGGCTAGGCTTAGTCAACGTCTGTTTCACGTCCACCCATCTTTTGGACACAAGCAGCACCGTATAGACAAGTGTGTCCTGTTAGAGCCTAATCCCCACCTGCCTACCAGCCCACCCGCCCCATTGTCTGGTATCCCCATATCACTCTATCATCAGATATGGAGGCGGTGGGTATATGTTGCCCATGACCTTGATTTCTTCAAACCGATCGTGCCGTGTTGTGTTCCCCGCGGTGCAGACGTCTCATTTATTGTCATGTGTCTATCCCCATAACTTGAACTAGATTGGACAGGAATTATAACCCCATGTTCCACTGAGCTATGCTTCTTCACCACGGGCATACTGTGCATAAATCAAAACAGTTCGTTAACATGTTAGACTCTTTTACAAGGTCTGGACGTCTGCATAGCCTTGTTATCCTACTGTATCTATTATGTATCTGTGACACACTGCTCGTGTACTGTGTGGGGCTACTCCACCAATCAGACCATATTTTCCCGAAAGACGGAAAACCTCTGGTGCAATGGAGGACAGTTTTATTCATCCAAGCACAGTCAGTCGAGACGAGATGATGATGGGTTATTCCATCCTAACGGTTTCATTCTTACGAAAACATCCGACACTCACATAGGAGTGAATTGTTAAACAACACAACAAGTAAACGAGAGGGCACTTCCATTAACTTGTTGGTTTTGGAGCATATCCAGAAGTATTAACTAGAAGCAGATCGTACCAGCGGCAGTGTTGCATCCAAAGTGTTCAACTGGGCTTCATTTAACTGCGAATCAGTCATCAGTCGATCGGTGAGCCAGTGCAAAATTACTCGCAAAGATTCAAGCAATTGTATTCAGACGTGGCTTTTTGCGTATACTAATAGCACCAATCCATACCCACTGGTATTTTCCACTACGTTTATTTCTATACAGTGCTGGTGTGGCTTGACGGCACTGTTCGGGCTTTGCGTTTCAAGCTTTTGTGTTCGTTTTCCGCTTGGTCTGCCTTTTGACGGACGATATGTTGCACATTGTAGGTCGTCGACACTGTCACAAATTTGCTTGCCCATCTCTAATAACTGCCGACCAGTCTAGCCGGAGTTGCTTGCTATGTTTTCTAGGATTAGGCTGACAACATGCTCAATTCCATCGTTTGGACAACCAACCCCGCCCGCCTATTTGTCTTCGTCGTTGTCACTGCCATATTCGTTTTTTCTGTCCTTGAGATTGTTTAGCCCGCCCTTCTGACTGTCAACTCGGGGTTGGACGATATACAACCGGGCGGATTTTTCTCTTCTGGATTGCTTTCCTCCCCTGATGATGGCTGTATCAATAACAACAGCAGTGATAGATGACTACTCAGTCTGGGGGTCAACTCCGGTCATTGAGAATAGACAGCATTCGGATTGTGTGTGCGTGTATACACGAACCCAAACAGAAACTAAATAATGTCTATACTAACAAATAATCCTAACTCCTTACCTTTTAAGCCACCTTATTAGGCATTGCGCAGGCATGTTTTACTAGACTGCGTCGATTAGGTTTTTATTTTTCCCAGCAAATTGTCTAGATTAAATTGGGCGGGAATAACTGCGATCCAGTTGCGAACACTTGATCAGTCTCCGATATCTTCCGGATTGTTTCGTTGACTTCGAAATTCGGGCTTTCGCATCCACAGAATAACAGCAAACATCCCCGAATTCAACAGCTGGTGAAGCTCAAATACGAACTGAAAATAGTTAAAACTGGACAAATCGCTCGTCCACTCCTGACCGTAGATAGTCCTGTCACTGAAATGGGATCAAGCAAGATTCTCACATGCTTCTTAGGAATAGCGGTTGGGCTGAAAAGGTCGGTTGGTTTGCATACGTTGCACTAAAGCGTGAAAAACGTGGGCGTCCCAGGACATAGTCACCTTTGGATAGCAGCTGGCTCATTCATATGGTTCTGATCACAGTATTCTGAACGCTTCAAGGATTGATCCACTGCAGACTGAATTGAGACACTAAAGAGAGGGCTTAGTAAAATGACTAGCTATTCATGCCTTACTGAGCAAAAAACTCATCAAAGCTAACAACGTGGCCTTCAATGATAAGAAGAGGAGTGCTCTCGAGCCTCCAGATATCTGGACTACTGTTGTCATGAGATAAAGCAGACTGAGGTCGGTGTAATTCTTCGGCTATTAGGTAACATGTCCGTACATCGCCTGGGGCGCTTATGAAATTCAAGGGTGACAACCCTCCTCTGGTGGGTGATAGACAGGACGCTGACGCTCACGTATTCGATAGAGGAATAGTGACATTTAGAGGTGGTCAAGCAGTTTATACCAATGTACCAAATAAAGCATGTTTCCAATGCTTACCTTAAAGTTGTTACTTTTGAACCATTGATATTAATATCACTGATGCTTCACTACAGTGATTTGGATGCAATTCCACCATATCTCAACTATTTGAAGACGTTCGAAGCGTTTTAGGTCATTGCTTTTGTCGCCTTGCCAACCTTGGCAATACATGTTGGATGGCATGTGCAGTGCTCAAAACGAACTTATGATAGGAAAAACGCTCTTACTTTTCTGAACTCTACAGCTATCAAGCAAGAGCTTTTTACGAAAGCACAACCCAACCTCATCCAAGTCCTGACTAGAACAACGTTTGGCAACCTCTTTTGCACCGTATGTCCTTATCAGTATGTTACGACAACCTACTCTCTGCCTCTCGAGGTCTCCCTCGCCCACATACTGCGAGTGATACGCCTTACTTTTCCCGTGTATTGCGAACGCAAACCAAAATCCTAGCAGATCCCAATAAGAACACGATAATTTTGAAGGCCATTTCAACCAATACGGTGCTTGTGATTGTTTTTTGTCAGTCACTTCCAGGAAACGCTGAGGAGCACTTAATCAGACAAAAGACGTTTCAGTATAACCTATTTGCTTCGTGCATTCCCTTGAACCTGTATCTTCTGAGTCCATAAACCGGGATTTTACAAACTATATATATATGGTTAGGGCTGAAGGTGTAACTCACGCGCCTACAAATTTTGTAGTGAGAACATAGGTAAGACCACTGTTGCATTCCTTAAAATTCTGTTATTTTCGCACCATTTTGGTTTTCTATAAGTGTAGGATTTCGTTGGCAAGCCCTAAGTGGTGTTAGATGTCCCTTGGATTATGTTAACGCACACGTGCTGAGCGCGCATCTTCTATCAATAATACTCACTTTGAGTGCAACAAATTTTGCTCTTCTTGGCCCTTATTATTCTTTCATTAACCCAACCCATATATGGGATGTGTATCTTGAAATCTACCACAATCAGTTTTCCAGTCGCTAGTCTCTTCAAATCTTTGTGTCTATTCGCCCATCACATCCACCCGCTCCCCCGATTGAGGAGCACTTGATCAAGGTGCATATATTCAATAGACAACGTACATCATTTGCGGCCTGAATTCCCTAGGGGCTTACTTTCACAGTGTTTTGTCGACGCCACCACATCACGTGATCAGTGCTGGACCGTGTAGTGGCCTTGAGTGTGCTAGCTTCACCAAGTGGCCGAATACTAATGGGAAATTCACGTCACAGCTTCGCAATTAGTAAGTCATATGTTGACACACGTGGGACGAGCCTTCATTCTGTTGTGACTCCCACTGTCCACATCACTTGCACAAATATTTGGTTATTCTTTGCCCTATGTGGATGTCTCTCCAAAAGGGACGTTACTGTCACTCGCCAGACCGCTTACCACTTAATACCTTGGGTTCTTCAACGACTAACTCCTTTAAACGTCTATCCGTTGCAGACAAGCTTTTTTACGTAAGGCTATGAAAACGAGTCATCTTCACGATTATCCACATTCTAAAGATTCTGATACGAAACCGGACTAGTCGAAGATTGTCTATAGAAACAATCTGCGACGGGTACTGAGCAACCGCTTTACTATCCCTTAGCAAAATGCAATATGCAAACAGAAAAGATTCTTTTCCCGTCGAATCGCTGGATCCATCACAGAAAAGCTCACAGCCTTGATGAAATGTGTTTTGTCCCATCTCTACGAGAATCGATCGCCACCGTGATGTAACAGATGCGGTGAAAATCTTTAACGGTGCCTCTGAGTCACAATGATGACTTGATCGATGGTGTGGACTTGAAACGTGTAGCAAGGTAGTCACCCTCCTCTCTACTAGAAGATTAGTCGATTCCGCTAAATTAATTCGTTCTACCAATAACATGTGTGCTGTGTCGAGGATAACTGTAGCCTACACTAAGATAGCCAGGCCGTTGGTTTGTTCGCTTATTTAAATAATTCGGTGGCAAACGCTCCATCACACTCAACAGTAATGTCACCGTGGGTGGAACGGTATAGTATGAATAATTATTTTATAGATTTTAATAGATTTATAGATTTAATAAATTTTTATAGATTTTAAGATTTTTTTAGATCCACATGTCTACATAGCAGGCACAGTTGGCTCCACTCGTTACGGCGATTTGCTTTTTTTCACATCTTTATGGAAGTGTTTGTATGTATGCGACCGCCTGATGCTCTAGGTTCACACTGTGCTTGGCTGCCCTTCTGTGTAATACAGAATGTCATGCATGAAGTCTACAACAATAACTAAGCGGTCACACTGTATTTTCTTCATACGTTTCATCGTGGTCATATAATTCAGCTTAGTCTGTGATCGATAGGAACCTTACGTAATCCGCCTTTTTTTCACTGTTTCCGGTTAGCTGCTAACCTTGACCATCAGCTTTTTGTTTCGACCACTTTGATTTAGACGTCACTGACCAAGTGTGTCTGTATAACATTACGGCAGGTCCTATTGGATTTTCTCTCGGTACCTGGTTGGTAAATTCCATTCTTGCTACGGTTATTGTTTGTGTTGTGAAGAATGGTAGTAGTCATCACCTGTGTGTAACGTGATTCCGGAACGTAAGCGAATATAAGACCGGAATAATTCTACTTTTTCGGATTGTGTGCTGTACTCGCTGTTTTTTTCCTGCAAACAAATTCACCCCTATTACATCCAAATTATCTGTGTTTTCGAGACCGGTAAAATGCACTGCAGATTTCTTTGATCCGGTTCGAACCCAACCTCTGCATCTCGACTTCTTTTGTCTAGGCTTGGGCGACCTGGGTGTATTCCTGCCCTCGCGTTTCCTTCGAGTGGCATAGCAGATAGGCACCGAAACGGTGCTAAATGAACCATTTTTTCTGTCGCACTAAACCCGGCGTCCTTGAGAAACGTACCGTCACGATAATTGTGTTTACTTCTCAATCTTTTATCCATAAGCCCAGTGTTTCACTTTTGCTACTGATGGCAGTACTGCGTCTCTCTAACAAGTCCGTGAACCGGGATTGAGTTGCTTCCGATGCCACTAATTGACACCACACGGCAAGGCCCAAGTGGTTAGAGTGCGAATTTACTGACCAGAAGGTCCGTGGTTTGAACCCGACCTCTGCCTCTTGCCTTCCCTTGTCTAGGCTTGGGCAACCTGGCAGTATCACAGCCTTCGTGCTTCCTCCGAGTGGCATGGCAGCTAGGCACCGAAAGAGTGTTACAGCTGAACGATTTTACGAAGGTGCAAACCGGACTGCCACGTTAAAATTGAATCGTATTGGTGATACGGATCGGCATTCACGGATGTGGATTTATTGGATCGTATTTTTTCGAGGAGGCTTCGTGCACTTTGATTGCGACTGCAAGTTTCGGGTCCAGTTTGTTGCATAATAACGGTGAAGAATTTATTGATGTCAATTGTAAGTGGAATGCCCGAATTCCGACACTCGTATTGGTGCTTTCAACATTATATACTTACAGGCAAATGTTTAAGTGGTCCTCACTTTTACCTAACGATGTATAAACTCTCGAACTATATCGTAAGCCAACGCGATAAGTACTGCTTATGCTATTTGTCGCATGTCAAAACGGGTGCCCCACGCATCGACCTGCTTTTATCCAAAAGTGGACCACCAGCTCCCACCACACATTTTTTCTGCTGTCTGAGTTACTCACTGTTCCCTCCCCCGAGTTCTGTTTCTGCAGCTGCAGTCATTTCAGAGCCATCCGTCTTGGCGCTTTATAAGATAGCTGGAAGGCTTACTAATCACATGTGCCGCCTTATCACTGTCGTTGTGACGCAAGCAAAAAATATCTGCCTTCGGGCACATATCAAACTAGTTTTCGACAATTGCATGCAATCACTGCTTCACGATGCACAGGCAAGCAACAGTTTCGGCTGCCTCCGAACCGCGCTTGCGTAGCATGAGCACGATTCGCTTATTCGTCAAACTCTCCGTTTCTAAACATTCTCAAGTCGGAATTCATCGACAATTGTTCACCGTACTGTAGCCATACCTAACGAATCGGCAGCAACCGACGAGGTATCCTACGGTTTGGGGGATGTTTTTTAATGTGTTAGTAGTCAATCTCTGAGGTGACTCTGATACAGTGATGACTCTCACCTAAAGACACTTTTTTAACCGGAACGGATAGTGCTATCCTCGGGATCAACGAATGGCAGCGTACATCACTCTTTCAATGTCGTGAAACAGACAAAAATCTACCTACTATCAGTTAACTTCTTGAAATGTCTCAATCGATCCCATATGATAATTTTGTCCTCCTCCCTCGTGGTAGATGTTCCGTATAACCACACGTTAACGTGCTGGTGTACGTCCTTAACTAATAAATGGACCCAAGGTACACACTGTTTCTGATTTCCAAGTAAGTTTACACCCGGGAATCACAGTGTGGTCACTTGAGGCTATCACCTTTGGTTTCATTCAAGGTCATTCCCCATTAGTATCCCTCCTGTGTAAGGCGACGGTATGTCATTGAATGATTTTGTCCGCTTGACTCATACCGCATACTACTTGAAGCGATGCGTTTGTAACACTGCCTTTGCTATGGAAAATGTCTTTTCTTCCCCCTTATGATTAGTCCGAGTGGCGTGTCTCCATTACTTCTTTTATGGTGCACCTTGGGCAGAGAAATAAGGACTTGTCAAGTCCCGAAACTATTTCAAGTACTGTCTGGACTGTTCCAGCTAGTGTCCAGAAACTGATTTCGACGTTACACTAGACATTACCTTAGACAGATTTCCGGAAAAAAATACAAGTTGGATAGACAACGAATTTATGTGATTACTCTTTGGCACGACCATCCACGTGACATGTTCGAATTACTCTGTAGTGGAATACACCGAATCCTGTAGCTTAACTGTCTAGTTTTACCTTTGTTTGTCATTATAACCAACATATGATACTGACTGTCAGCTTTATAAGGGTGCAAAACTGCAACCTAGCTACACGCAAATGAGCTTATGATAGTTTGCCAGCCACTTTTACTCGATCGGCTGTAGGTATGTGATTTTGACCGACGAGTCCTTGGTTCCAACTGACTCTTTCTAGTAATCTTGTCTAGTCTTGGACAGTCTGAGAGTATCTCAACTCTTGCTTTGTTGAAGGTTGCGTGGCAGCCATGCACCGAATGGATACCTAAGATAAATGATGTGATTTGATTCGAACCTCTAGGTGAACCAGTAGAGTTCGCCAGTGTTCATGCATCAACTATAGCTCTTCGGCCCATATATTCGGATGCCAGAGGAAATGAAGAACAACTTACTTAGTTTGCTTTACGATGGCTGTCTCCGGTTCGCGGATGAGCCAGCTCTACTAATCTCTTGGATCATCGCAGTCCATGCACGGCTATCTTAGGCTGGTCTAATAAGTGCACTCTCAGATTAGTTAACCAGTAGGTTTCGTCTTTAGGATAAATACAAGCCTACGAAGATACAAAGATACCAACAATGTAGGCTATTTTCGTACATTTTCGATCGCAGACTGTGTAATCCGTTAGTATACACAGAGATCAGGTGAAACGAGACTCTCCTACGGTTGAGTTAAGATAAGTCTCAGAGAAATGAGAACTGTCAATGTGGCGAACTTGGTATCTCCGTGGTTGTATGCTGTAAATTATGCTATTTACTGATGGGTAAATCTGAGGACAACCAAATGGCTCAAATAAAGATGGTGCAGTGGTTAACAAAGAATAATGATGACAATAATCAACCGTACTGGTTCAGCTGTGGCACCCTCTCGGTGCATAGCCGTCTTTCAAGTTGAGAGATGCACGAGGACTGAAATACTGCCGTTTACCCAACCCTATACTCAAGCAATCAAAACAGCAGACCTGGATACGATCCATAGACCCTCTGGTTAAGCGTTTCGTACCTTAACCAGTGAGTTATCTCGAACAATGGGATGATTTCAAGTCTGCGAAAGTGATCAAAAATTGGCTGCTATAAATAATGTGCTTTTGCGACCCGTTGTGAGAGCACTTTAGTTCAAACAAGCTCAACTGAACAAAGGATACTGTTAAAAGACCACTGATTTCCTCAAAGGGCCGTTCACTTCTTACATAAAACTAGGAATCCGATGGATCTCCGCAAGCGAGCATCTCCTCGCTTAGAAAAGGCAGCCCACTTTGGCCGGATTCAACGGGCAGTTCCTATTGAGAATGACCACTGCTCGAAGTAGTTTCTGTACGTTGAATCGTGTCCCAAGTTTGACTCCTACATGCAATTCACTCTAAGGTCCGTTGGCACTCAATGCCACCAGAAGGAAGCACGAGGGCTGGCAGTATCCCAGCTGAATGATTTATATTTTTTATATTTTTTACTCAATGCACGTTGACGTCAGTGCAGCGCCTGCTGGTCACGTGTCAACCACTCGGGCAATATTGTCGATCCACCGTGGTTCCTGAAGTCTGAGATTCGCATATAACATTTCATTGCAGCTGAGACTGTCCAATTAATATACGAACGTAGAAATACTCGTCAAATTGGAAAAGTGTTAAACCAGCGTCGACAAACACCCTGACCTTTCCTGCCTTCGCCGGAACACCTGAATGGCACAGTTACTTACGACTTCCGTTTTCCCCTTCTGGCAGTCTAATACGCACCTTTTCGGGTGATTTTCTCAAGTATTTTAGCGTTTTGTTTACTCAACAAGACTAAAGTTGTCGTCTTTACCTAGTGAGGTAAGAAACAGCCATTATATTCCCCGGGTATTTATTGTTGTTGATGGCTATTGGCAGGGCGTTGGATTAGCATCAGTAGATTTTCACTCGAATGCAGCTTACCACTTATAGGTCATCCGCCTCTATTTAGGGGGCCGATTTGCTTCGATATGTCGAAATAGTAAGTTAACCTTGTTTTCGAACAACAATAATGCTGCAAAGCTAGTGCTAGGAGTTAGTTATGTGTAGATGTCGATGGATCTCGTAATTATATAGCAAAAGGTGAGGGCTGACCTGTGCACCAATGCAACTTTATCTAAAACTTCGAATACCCTCTGTTTTTATGGCCTAATTGGCGTTGTTTCTCGAGTACGCATCTAGCTTTGTAAAGTAAATCATTTTCTAGGTCCCTGTCAGACTTGCGATGCCGTTCCCCATTGAATCTGTTGTGAAGCCTTAATCCGTACCCATATCGAAAACCAACTCGTGTTCAACCTACCGAACCGTATCTACACGCCTAATAATCATGTGGCCTGATTTCTTCCGTGCACTGTTGATTTCTTACCACACCCACGCGCCTACCTATCGACCTCCCTACCCTCCGACCCAGTGGCAACAATACGCGCAAAACACGCATGCGTTCTCCATTACGGACAAGCAAGGGTTTTCATTCCGCATCGTTGGTACGAAGCTGGGACACAATAGTTTGTATGCTGTCAGCTACACCTTGAGGCGTCATGGCTACGCAATGTTGGACACGTGCCCGTTGTAGGACTCCCATTCTCGAGCTTGCCTACTTGCCTGGCTCTGTGTATTTGCTGGCCGCATGCTTGCTCTGACTCTTTTAACCTGGTCTGAAGACACGAGCAGCGCAGGCGCACTCCCGTGTGTGTGTGTGTGTTGCATGAACACGCTTGCTACTGTGTTTGTCTGTATGTATGTGTGAATGACCCTGGACTCATACTAAACTGGTAATGCATTTCAGAAGCACTGGCGATCACATTCCATGCCACTCGCTCCACCCTCCAATCAGGCCATTCACCCGTCACTACTAGTGGCGTAGTCACGTGTCTGCGTCTTGACCTGTCCCTCTACCGAACATCACTGGCCGATATCTGCGGCCACATTCCTCCTTCCTGGCACGATTGTTTGACGTATAAATTAGCGATGTTGGAGGGACAGTCCCGTCCACACATTTCTGATGCCTGATCCCATTAACGACGGTTGGACGCTTGGATTATGAGCCATCTCGCGTAGGCCATGGCGTGTACGAATCCAAATGTTTGTTAAATGTCCGTTAGTTTGTTCCACCACCCTTATGCTTGGCATTACGCCAACCTACTCTAAAACGATTACCTTTGCAGCAATCTGGTTCATGTCGAACTTCTTTGCCTTGTTCCCAGTATTGTAAGTTGATGCACGTGAAGGGTGGGAAGGCATTCACGCTAAGAACTCATCATGCCGTACCCATTATCTCCCGAACAGGTAAATAATGCTTGAGGCCTCTGGCTTAACCCCATTTTATGACTTTTTATGACAGCGTGCACCTTATCGGGTTGTGGTGCACATGTATCCTTGTCAAAAACGGTGAGATGTGGTTAGTTTTGATACGAAAAGCACAATCCTCCTTCAGTTTCCCCCTGATTGGCTCTCTTCAGACAAGCCTACAACACGGTCGGTCATGTGACGCGTATGTGACAGCTCAGTACAGTACCCAGCCGCGTGGCCCGGTACTGCACCGGATGGACGATTTCAATGACATCCCTTATCGTTTACGGGCGATTGCAGGTTGGGGGTCGAAATTGCCGTATAGTCCTGTTTTCATTCCGTCATACTACAAAACGATGGTGGTCGGTTATTCACTTTTAACAATTCACCAACTGGCCCCAGTCAACTATATAAAAAATATAATAAAAAAATCTGACAGAATACTCAGTCTATTATACGAGGTCTGGAGATAAAATGAATACATGTTGTTAAAGGGTGGTCCTCGGAAGAACAGAGAACAAACTTTCCAGGATTCGCGGGTTTAATCTAAACTAATTGCTTAACAGTCACTAATTTGCAGGATGATGAAACTTAATATTGCGGAAGTTTTTGACGGTTGCCACAAGAGTCAACATCTAATTTCACCACTTGTTTCGACAAGTGTCTATGCGCAAATGACAAGGTAGATTTCAGCGTGGCCCCTTCTGTTGTAGATAAAACCAGATTAAACAACTCGTATTCTCTTGCATCTGTGTAAGTGCCCCAAGCGATTATCCGTATGAATTCGTGATGCAATTCCACAACGTAAACAGTCACCCTCTCGAATGATTCATTGGTATATTTGTATAAAATATAGCTCCTTAAGTTGAGTCAAGTATGCTTTGGACGACAGATGGCCCCTTCCCCTTGACATTGAAATTGATCCGTCAAGTTTACCTTATCCTGACCGAGCTAAAGCACATTCTTCTACCAATGGTATTTGTTCTGCTACAGTACTTTTCCTTGCTTTCCAACCGTCCACTTCGGAGAGCGCCATTCCCCAAACTGCCGTGATGCAGATAGCACTACCCGCCATTACCATTGTCTCTTACAGCAACCGCGATTCCCGTTGGTGTTTTCACCACATTACTCAGTCTGTATGGAGAGAGGTCCAACCATTAGGATGTATCACAGGAGTGCACATTTTTTTCATACGATGGCTGCCTGAGTTTTGGAGAACGGACGGTAAGTACTTATCAGTCAACTGACACTGGAGTGCAGACGGGAATACCGTACGAAAATGCATTACGTTCAGCTGTACGAGTACTTCAAAAACTCAAATAGCTTACACACCGACTAGTCCATCTCAATTCCTGACTTTTTGCCTTGTTTTATTCGAAACACAAGTACTAGCTCTTCATGTGACTGATTTGAAGAACTTTTGTTTGTTGTTGACAATCTACTAAGAATTTGTGCATGATCAAGATGCCATTCCCTTTTATCGCCAATGAAGGTGCGTCAGTTGTAGATGGACATTTCAACGTCGTGATATAAGTTAGACGATGCAGAGTGATTCGTTTTTACTTCAGTGATTCATAAACAATCAATGCATTGGCGACTGAATGTATAGGGAAGAAATTTCCATGACTCAGAATGTCCGGATAGCAAAGTAACACGCGTTGCGGATGGCGCTCTTCTCCAAATTTTTCGCTTTCTCACACTTTCGTAGTATCCGTCGCTCAATTTTTACCCGTATTCCAGTTGGTTTGTTGTTCAGAAATGTGTGCTCTCGAGTATCTTGGTCAGATTAATGGGTGCCTCAGTTCAGGTTGATACTCGTCACATTTCTGGAGTAGCTCTTGAGTCACTTCAAATGCTGCCACTCTTTTGTCTTACATATGACAGTGAGGATACCGCCTCCGGAACCACAGAATGGATCGAAGAAACCCGTCTAGAGGGCCATTCCGATTGGGTTCGCGATGTCGCTTGGGCACCGAGTTTGAATGTGGCTCGTCAAATGATCGCTTCCTGTGGTCAAGACGGACGCGTAATTGTGTGGGTATCTGTGGGTCTGGACGAACCTGGTGCTGTCCACATGGGTGCAACAGTGGATCCGAAAGACTATGTGCACCGCCCGGGCGGAACAAGTTGGTCTCCGGTCGTATTAAATACATATGCAGATGTTGTTTGGCATGTGTCCTGGTCCATCACGGGTAATATCTTGGCTGTTTCCGGTGGAGACAACAAAGTGAGCGCCGTTGCCCGTTCACCGTGTTTATGCGGTATGACAAAGTTTCCTCGCTGATTTTTCTCGGAGAATCATTTTTCAGTAGACTGTTTAACCTCGTCGTTGGATTTCCACTGTCATTTTGCTTAGGTTTGTCGGTGTGGCTACCGCCACCACATGAATGCAACTGCATTTTGTCCACTAAGCAGGATTTTGACGCATATGCAAGCAAAAGCAAGTGTTCATTTGTGCCACCTCTACGTCTGTCTCCCCGTAACTAGCCGTCTGAGCCGGTTTTCGACAAGTGATCCGTCTGTCCTGATTTTCAATTTGTTTTCTATGTCGCTATGACGACGTACCTGAAACGCCATGTGGGACCCACGCTGACAACCAGGCCGGAGAGACGATGTTTGCTTTTGAGACGACACGGGACAGTTTTGCGTGCGCACGCGCAAGTCCACCACACATACACTTAGTCTGTTCGGACTAGTTTCATGCCTGTGTTCAGTGGGACGATTTTAACCTACACCCGATAGTTCACGGATCCTAGGAATCGCTGCTCGTCCTCTCAAGCTGACCTCGGCGAGGGACCATGTGAAAATGTGATGCTCCGCTCTGTGTGAATGCACTACACATCTACGGACTTCAGTAATAGCCAATATGCCGCTACGCATAAATCGTACTCACAAGCATGTGTATATTGGTGCACACAGAATTACACACTTCTCAAGGTCAATGGTCACACGGTGCTAAATATAATGGAATAAGACAAGCAATTTGCTTACAACGACCACATCCATCACGTTTCTGGTGTCGTAGACTGACCACGCGCTCCAAACATCTTATGATAGAAAAACAAGGAATACTTGACTTAGTGTCTTAATAATAAAAAAGTCAGATGCATTATGTCGAACACATCTTCCCTGCATGTTACAGTCACTGTCAATAACTCTGAATGTTTGGCGTCGCAGATCATGGGTACGTTGGTACGTTACATCAGGCGACTATCGGCACCGCAGAATTCTGGACCTGAACAGCTGGGCACCTGGGTGCCACGTGCATATGACGGCAGGCAACGCCCCTTAACCGATCTGTCAGTGAGATCAAATTGCATTGTTGGTTATCAGTACATGCAGCACTCCAGGTCGACTGAGCGTTTTTCTTGGTGCACAAATACACGGATCTGCATTCGTGGTGGAATCCATCTCTTGTCAATAACAAGAATCGATAAGCACAATATTTCTGTTCAGAAATGACCGATGGTGGTCAAAGCATGAGTGAAGGGGTCGACTTTGAAGGTTGAGCATGCTGTTCATGAACGCATCAATTACTCTGTTTTGCATATTATGCAGCAACGTCGTCGATTTCCAGTCACCGGCATGCAAAGCGAGCCGACTACTCCATTGTTGCCATCAAAATTATCAGAAACTAAGTCTTCAAGTTATCGAGAACATGATAGCAATCCAGTTGAGGAATATTTCTAGCAGATCGAGGCTTAATGTCACTATTCAAAGCAGTTAAGGTTATGCATAGTCGTTCAACCATTTCTGCTGAAGACTTTTGCTGAGTTTTTGATGAGTGATAGATGATGTGTAAAAGTTGATCAGATACAGTGTAACGGTGATACTACTGATGGGAAAGGCATGCGAGTAGTATGTTTCTTTTAAATTCGTTTTGCGTTTCTTGAAAAAGGATATCTATTGCGCAATTTGTGTAGTCGCTTTGTAGCATTTGCTTGGATTTGAGCAACAGTCATTGAATATCCAGGAGAGTTCAGGAAGACGCATTCAAAAGAAGATGAATGTTCAGTTTTTGTAAACAAGATGCACATGAGAGTTTTGCTTCCCTGTCCAATAGTCTGTAACTGGTCAGTTGGCATTTTCTAATAGATAACTCCGCAGCGAATGCCTTCTTCCTTTCAACAGTAGTGAATTTTCGATCCGATAATTGTAAATAAGAGTTAACAGCCTGATCAACCTTATCAACCAACCTGATAATAATAGTTCAACCGTAACATCATTTCGATGCATACCTGCCATGTCTCCCGGAGGAAGCAAGAAAGCTGAGATACTGTCTGGTTGCCCAAGCCTAGACAGGAGCAGTCAAGATGAAAAAGCTTGTTGATTCGAACCATGGACCTTCCGGTCAGTAAGCTCAGCTATTTCAATCCAATGGTCTGCACATGATATGGAGTCCCAATCATTGATCTTCACATTACTGAGGAAACGCTCAATTCATAAAGGTGTTCGGATCTACTTAAGTGTGCCCGGTTGTTGTTCGAATAAATTGTCTCTGGAACGGCTGCTCTCTATGCATTTCCTACAAGGCGGAGCTGAAGCATATTCCACAATGTTGATAGCGAAATACCTAAACGGGACTCCACCCACAAATGGGTAGGCCTTGATGCTTTCCAGAAATCCCTCTGGCGGCCACCGAACCTGCGTCCACTGGAACTGTACCGTTCAGGGTCACATGGACAAGAAGTCCTATGAATCAGTCCCCAGCGAATAGTCCATTCACCTAGCAAATTCGCCCTCAATGGATGGCAAACGAAAGCACTTTTGAAGTTTTCCCATCAAAAAGGCTCGCAGAATGCCGCGACTTGCCTTTGGTCAGCTACCGGTTTCGTCCTGAAGAATGTTGAATCAAAGCTCGTTTGAATCCCACCAACCTCAGTAAATCGTCTTGATTTCCATCCGCTCGACCTAACGCGTAGCAGTGTCGGATCACACCCTGTCTCTGTTCTTCGCACGTTTACAGCACGCCCCAGGCACCACGTGACTGGCCTTTGTTCGCAGTTCGACTGCGGCTGTGACCTGACGCGTTCGTACATCCTTCGTCTGGGTGTGATGTTCACACTCATTTAGGCCAAGGATGTTACCACCATTTCAAGTTTCCGAATGACATCTTGGATGATTCATCGTCGCCCCCGCCTGCTTGCTGATTTCCGTGTCAGGCCGCCCCGCCTTCCATACTGCTTAGCCCACGCTTTCAGCCTACCCACCTATCTCATTCGCTCCCGGCCAAGGTCGCACTGTCACGTGATGGCGTGAAGCACGTGAATTGGCTGGTCTCGACAGCGGTTGCGCACAGCCCTAGTAACCGCGCTGAAACTTGAGTCGATGATGAGACACACTACTGATGACATCTCGTCCTTTGAAGGTAATATCACTAGTATTGTTGTGGCTGCACGCGTGTCAGAGATAGCGTAAAACACCAGACCTCGAAAAGCTGGGATTCCACGACAAATCCCCCAGGTAGGAATTGGGACGTTGATAAGCAAGTCAGTCCTCATCATTAGTAGCTGCACAGACACTGATTCGCGCGCCACAGGTGTCTTTTCAAAAAACACTGTCGCTGGTTAAACGGTCGGTCGTCATTCGTGTTTAAGCACAACACTCACTATTTCTATGATTGAGGCTGCTGCTATGACCGTTTAGAGTCAATTAAGATCGAGCAATCCTTCGCTCAAACAAGTGAATTTTCACTGCACTGAATTGTAGCACTGTGTATGACTAGTCCTTAAGACGTCTCATGAGTTGTTCAGACATGAATGAACTTGAAAAGGTATTTTTGTCAACCAGTAAGTCTTAGTCGCGGTTAATATATCATGACGCGATATCCGATCACGTGAGGGAGGATGCACTCGGTTAATCCTGGAGTCCCCTAACTCTCCCGGAAGCAGGGTGCTTCGGTTAACCGAGATTTAAACCTCTGTGACTTGACTGTACAAAATCTAGATTTTCACGTACACTTCAATTTTCATAATAATCGGTCTCATGGTTTGTGCGCTGTGTGAAGCAATTTCATATCAGCCCTAAATATAGCATGTTCGCCCACAGACCGGTCTGTGTGGTCGGCCGTGTATTACGTTTGCCTTGCCCATCTGAAAATCTTCGAAGGTATGCATGTAGATTGATCAATATCGTAGTTCGCCGATTTGCCAGTGTTACTTTGGCGAGACATCGACAAATCAACTTGTAAGCGCTGCGATGAGTGTGCCCGGTCTAAATTCATTTGCACGTGTGTGCAAATTGTGAACTTTCTATCCCTTGAACTGGTGGTGGCCTCAGCGGATCGACGCATGCTCACTTGTCATCAGCGGACTAAGTACGACACAGTTGTCTTCATAGGTACATTTGAGTGACGGAAATCCAAAACAAATGGTTGATCGGTTATCCGATAGTATTTTGACTACATCCAGGGTTGAAACCATGCTACTGGAATATGGACTCCTTTTGGATGCGTTCAAACTACCCATTGATGACACTTCAAAACAGCTGGATATAGGCTAGGGGCCCTTTTGAAACTGGTCGATTCATTTTCAACTTTCCGGCTGCTCTATTTTGATCAGCTTGGTCAAGTCAAAATGCCCATATGGAGTATGGCCGAGTCGGGAATGTTTGTATTCTTAACGCCTTTCGTCATTGGGAACCTTATCTTGCAAATGCATGCTTAAATCTGAATAATGCGGCTGCAAAACCAGTGTTACCGAATTTTCGGACTCACTTTATTCTCGGAAATTATTCACATCGACCTCGCCAGATGGTACGATTTGTACTGCTGCGATCCTTATGGAGTACTTTACATTTTGCAGCAGTTCAATTATCGACTGTCAGTCTTCCCTTGGTGATGAGATATGATGCTCAAATCAGGCTCAGATTTTGTAGAGTATGACAACACCCATTTCGGGGACGATTCTATATATAGATTATGTATGTTGAGGCAAGGTCACGCAACCTCATCACGAAATTGTTTGCACACAACACTTGCATTTTTACAAGTTGGTGAGTGCAGCTTATTTCTTCCTGGTATTGTACTTGATTTTTTCGTCTACCGTTTACCTACTTTTTCATACACGTTTGTGGACGTTCTCATTATACCCAGGTCCCAGTGATTTCGACAAAATGCAACCAACCGAAATTCAACATGATGGCAATCCATCCCTTCCTATCAGGTGACAGGAGGTAGTTCCGTTCAAACCTGTAGGTGCTTTACTTCGTTCGGCACTTCAACCTCCTGGGCTAGGTAGTCGGTCTTCAGGCGGCCGCATCAATTCGCCATGCATTCTCTCTGATTTCACTTTTTACAACCCTCTCCCTCCAGGAATTAGGGTTGGTCGATCCACATAGCTCCACAATCGTATAGCAACAATTGCTTGAGATTGCATTTTGCGCAGCCACATGATTGACAGGTCTGCGATAAGCGTCCAGTTCTGACTTCTTGGCTGGGTGATAACAACTCAGGAATATCCCGTCGCTTTTGCTTTCTGCAGCTATCAAGCAGCCATACGTTGAAAGGATGCTACTACTGCATCGCTTCATGGCTAACTTCTGTTTAGCTCACGTACGCGTTCACTTATATAGCATATTATGCTTGACTCAGCTAGAATTTTCCGAATTCCAGCTTTGAGCCGGGCCGATGAAAATAAATGCACCTGAAGCTTCTTGTGATTGTTTTTTGAAAAACCTACCAGTGAATAAGGGGGGATATTTGCACTCCCTCCCTATCCCAGCACAGTCGTACTACGTCCCCCCGGGGGGGGGGGAGATGGACCAAGTGGTTAGAGCACGACTTTATTGACCAGACGTCCCGTGATTCGAACCCGACCTCTGCTTCTCGACTTCCTCTGTTTAGGCTTGGGCGACCTGGCAGTATCCCAGCCCTCGTGCCTCCTTTGTGTGGCATGGTTAGTAGGCACCGAAAGGGTGCTACAGGTGAACGATTATTTATTTTATTATTTTACTACGTCCCCCAGCCTTCTATGCCAGCTACTGCGCATGACATTGCACACATAGAAAATCAGTCAACCCGACGTCAGTTTTGGAGTATTTGGCTACTTTAGTGTGCTGGCTTGATTCGTGTGGTAATCGCAGCTGCCCGCGGCCGACGACGAGTTCCGCACAATTCACAGCTTAACATTGCATCTTACGCCAGCTACTTCCGAACAGCTTGTCCCCGTTCTTTTGTCCGAGAAGTGTGATCGTCAGCAGCTGTTGTTCGCACGTGAAACGCATGGCCTCGTTGAATGTTGCATGCACTTTTCACTCGTTGCGTACATGCACCTGACTACTCGGCACAGCACTTTCCTAATAAAGGCACGCAAATACGGTGACCTCGTTCCTGGATGGTTGCGTTTGATGTGAAGGAGAATATTGATGGCTAAATTTGTATTCACTTCTAAACAGGCGGTTATTCGCTTCTTGCTGGAACCCATCATTTTCTCCGAAACAACGGTCAACAACCAGCTAAATGTGGCTAAGGCTTTGATGATATTTTTCGTTGATTAATTCACATCGTAGTGATCCCACTGTTTCCAATATCCGTTGCCTCTTTCTCTATGGACAACTGGTTGTGATTCGGTTGGCAGTCTCATACTCTGAAGCGCCCGGTAGTCGAGTTGTGCACACACACACACCTGTCAAATTCCCTAACTGGGAAACGAGGCCGACAAGGATCAGCGCTTTCTCTTTGAATCTAGTGCTCATTGTGAACAGAAGTGCACTTCATAATTTTTTGAGAAGTCGATTCTATTGTATAAGTGTCCCTTGGTGCTAGTCACAAAACAATGCTTGTTTCTACTTCTGACTCAATACTTCTTGTATCAACTGCGTGTATTGACTTTTTATGTACTTCCAATTCATTTTTTTTGTACATTCGTGTGGTGATTTATTTACACCCACTCCTCGCTACTGGAAACGTCCTCTTCTTGTAGTTTTCCTGAAACAATTTTCACAGGGTTGTTCGAACCCTGTCGTTACCACTTCTCAACCTATGTAGCTAGCTTTTCGACAAGACTTTTCACGTCCCAGCTACTCCGTATCCGTTTCAGTTACCTTTATCTACGTTATTTTAATTGGTGCCTTCTAATTTTGTGGGAATCTCGTCTCTGTCATCTTCCATAGGTCACTTTATGGAAGCAAACTCTTGAAGGGGGATGGATTGCGCTGAGTGAGATTTCGCGCGGCCATGGTGGGCCGGCCAGTCTATTAGGCATGGATGAACCAAGTCAGCTATCCATGCCGCCTGTGGCATCAGGCTAGATTGAAGCCGTTCAAACAGTCAAGACGGTTGTGCCATGCGTGGACTTTCTTTGGATGCTATTCTCTGTTCGCTTACAGACTTGTATTTTTTTGTTTAATTTCTACATGTTGATGGTGAATGAGAAATGTCTTTTTGATGTCTCTGCTTAGCTCTATCCCGTCGTTTTTGCGTTTGCTATCCGTGTGTGGCGCTCAATGTCTAATTCTGCCTTCCAGGTCAGCCTACTGAGAAAAAGCAGTGTGGTTTCTTTTCACCGGCATTCGTGCGTTTTTAAAATAGTGATGACAATTCTAATGAATTATGGAATCTCTAAACTAGAGAAATACGGGGAAGGGTGTATTAGATTACAATTGGGGTCCTCTTCGTGACTGGGAACGTTTTCGCGGGTTCTCCAACGGATTACCTGTCTTTCGATGGATCTTTTTTGCAAGGGTTCATTGTACCAGTTGCTGAACTGTGCGGCTTTGAAACTTTAGGGGAAAATCTATTGGACTATGTTAAGTAAATCACCAGGGCTAGTTGGGACTGACGTTCACTTTATGTGCTTGCAGCTTCACTCTGCCCTCAAAGAGCGTGGACAATTAGACTTGAGTAACACTAAAACAACTAGGTTAACTTGTACAAACGAACAACAGTAGTGCAACCCTTCTGCGTGTGTGCTTTAGTTCAGGGGACACCGTCGCGATCATTTGTGTGCCGACTGCTGTGACTACTGGCGTACAACTTGATGACTGTTAGTGTGTCTGTATGTAAGCGGGTGCTCGAACCCATAGGAACCACTCAAAATCATCCAGCTAGGTCTGTTTGTTCGTTTTGTCATAACTTTAGCTGTGGGTTTGGATGAACCTGATCGCACCCAAATAAGAAACATGCTCATTCCTAGGAACTTTAACTTTTGTGACAAGCTCAAGAAATGGAATCACACCAGTGATGTAAGTAGGCATACCATCCCGCTACAGAGCAGGCGACTTATCTTTGCTAACCAGCTATTTCCGGTATGGACTGTGGACTTCACCTAACATGTCTATAGCATAGAAGCAGAACATGCTTTGCCAGAGGCCTCTGACCTTCACAGTAAAGTTCTGTCACAAAAGCCCTCGAATGACACCTGTGTTCGGTTTTCGTCACAAGAATCTGATGGTAGATGACCTGTGAGAGTGCTACTCTAAACCCAACTTGTGCGATGACTATGCTGTCATGCATACTGATTTATTCGTGTAAACGTCGAGACAATGCTCCTGCCAGCGCATAGAGATCAACGGAAACTCAGGCGTGACCCACAGCCGAAACCGTTGTATCTGGTAGTAGGCGCGCATCGCTTTCGTTCCGTTCGAGAAGTGGTTATTAAAAAGCAGTATTATGGTTTGACTGCACTCCAGGTCCATGGGTTATCGCAGCCAAACGTGAATTGACGAGTACTGGCGGAAAACTTAGTGCTAATAATAGGAAACCCAAGGCTGTGACTAGTCTAACCATATCATATCCATACCCACACTAATCCTTCTCTCTTAGAAGCGCGAATGTTTCCTTCAGGTGATCCGTAACTGTGAGTTGGTGGGCGTTTGCATACTGTCAGATCAAACAAATAACCAGATTTATCGTCGTGCGGGATACATCATCCAGTTTTTATTGGAACTCAGAAGACCTAGAATCGGTTTCACGACCGTTGGCGACGACGGCTTGCTGGTAAAGTAACAGTGCGAGAAGTTGGTCCTGGATACACCCATTGGATCAGTTACCTGGTGGAAGAAAAAGCGATCATTGCGTCTCCGACCGCACTAAGAAGATGCCTGACTCAGAACCTCGTGAAAACCAGTCACCGCTCTCAACATTTCCGATGGTTGTTGTAATAAGGTTGTTGCGCGTTACCGTCCTCCATCTGGGTACCACCGTCTAATGTGGGTTTGTATTAGTTTGGCGAATCATGTATGGCTTTGCCTTTTCTTCAAGAAGAGAATATTCTTAGACGTAATACGCGAAATAATAATAAAAGGCTTAAAAATATCATAAACGAAAGATTCAGCTGGTTTTCAGGTCACTCTCCCGTCAAAACCAGTTCGAGTGTATTTATCGAAGAGTATATATATGCCGTTGAAGGAGCACCAACCTAGCGATGTTTGGCGACATTCGCTCAAAGTACTCTATACTCCAGAATACGTTCTTTATCGGATGCAGTTTCGAGGGTCCGGGAGGGAACAGTTGTGAGATCCATTGGCATGGAAACTGATGGCCCGTAGTTAATAAACCAGCCGGGACAGCTAAACAGGCGAAACCCACATAGTACGATGTGGATGGCCCGCACCACCCATAGGAAAAGTATATGACTGGCTAGTGTTAACAAATGAACTATTAGGTCAGTGCGGCAACGGCCACAAAAATTGACTTCTGGCACCGTTGTAATGCTGACACTCTGGAACGTTTAGAGTGTGAGTGTGGGTTACTTGCAGATCTAAAATAGGAACCAATTACCAGTTAAACTCAATGATGTCCACTTCGGACACACTGGCAGTTTGTACTGTTGATCAAGCGAACCAAGGTCACGTATGCAAAGGTGTGGTTTAATTGTTTTGATGATACTGGTCACGAAGAGTCACTTCTGGCAGCCTGCCAGGCTTCACACACCAAAATATGTCAAAATATTTTGTTCAAACACTATTGTGGAGACAGCTAGGCAGTTGATTTTGGTTTCGAGTGTAAAGGTGACCGACGTTGTCGCGGTGTCAAGCTTGGATCACACTCATAGGGCCTGTTATGGTTAACGATGGTTTGGCCTCTTAACCCTGTCCGGCGGTGGTTTCTGAAAGTCACTTAAGGTCGATGCATTATTAGCTGTTTGATACCCTCAGCCAGCTGACGCAGGTCTGATATACTTTATCCACCCATGAATCACTGTGCCCTCGTTGCTAACCAATAAGTCTGACAAAACTGATACAAACGCCGCTACAGTCGAAGCAGATCCAGCAAGTTCTGTCACCATGTTTGATGGCTCTTAGGGGGCTTTTGTGTCTTGCACGTTTCTGCTCCTCAGGTTTGTCGATCGTTGATTTGGTGAACACTAGCTTGTATCCCCTCCTTGCATTCTGTCGTGCTTTGCGTTTCGGCCGCTCAGTTCGCGAAGTCCTCCGTAACTCAGATTCTTTGTCTCCAATTGTCCACGCAGCAGCTGCTTCGGGTGCTGCTTTCCACCATTCAGCACGCAACTGGTCAGCATAGACTGTCGTTAAGCCGACCGTCTCCATTCCGTCAGAAAGTTTTTGTCTTTCACTCGTCTAGTCCAAGTTCTCAAGTACTATTCATGAAAGCTGTTCAACTATCGATTAGTACGCCGTCATACGGTCAGTTTCAATGCCTTACAGAGGGTTCGAATGAACCGTTGCTTCGTAGGCATATATAAGCTTCGGGTTACACATTGTTTTTTGTTGACTATCGCCAAAGCTGCACTAGCTTTGACATCATGGGATCGCACTTCACGGTAAAAGTCACCTCAGCAAAGTATCCATCCAAGATAGCAGACATCTGTACAGTATTCGACATAAGCTGTTCTTCGATCTGTTAATCAGATCGAAGTTTGTTTGTTGATACGAAAATGGAGTCCATTATCACTCAAACCTTGTGTATTGGCTCCAGCCGTCATTATTTTGCCCATCTGTGGATATCGAATTCCAATGGGAGTGTTGCGCGTTGAAAGCAACAGCACATACTGATAACTACATACTAGTTAAAACGCCTTGTTATCGATTCAAGGATTGAGAAGGAACGGATATGGAGTGAACCGAATAGCTCGGATATTTGAATACAATAAATCGCAAGATCGGGTCAGACCGTCTCCACATCCCTATTCAGGCAGACGACAGCTGTCAATGCTACTATTTCCCGAGTATGGATCATTCATCACTATCAAGTCTCTACCTTATCTCCCCAAAGTAGTTTTCACCTGACACAGTTTTGCCGAAAGGAGTCTGTTGGGTAGATAGCCTCGTTTTATTCAAAGAATGTGAAAAAAATCTCTGGCCAAACACCAACAGTTGCTTGGTTATTGTTCGAGCTGCCAGGGGGTTACTGGGAATACATGTGAACTATGAACTCCTGTCAATCTACCTCTAACAGACCTGTTCCGTAAGTCGTTGAAATTCGATTTGTCGCTCCTAAAGCAGACATTGAAAACTAAAAGTCAATGAAATCGAGATTAAAGAGTATGATGAAACTAGACACTCCTGTGTTCTAGGAGAGAGGAGGATTACTTGTTGCCTCCGAATAACCCCTCACTTCAGCACAGTTGACTTTGTTGGTTTTTCTAGTGGTAATAAGTACTACGTCTACCTAACACCCCCGTTGTAACAGATATCTCTCTGAACTGATCATTTGGCCGCGCATAGCACTCGCAAGCAACCGGTCATTCGTCCCACTACAGTGCGTGCACCTGAATTTCTTACGTTCGTTTGGGAGACAGTACTCGAAAGTGATTTTTCACAAGAACCGGCGGAGAGATGTGTGCACACCAACTTGGCTCGTACACTCACTTTCAGTCGATTTTCAGTACAAACAGTCAGATGGTGCTGTTCTTTTCCGTCGTAGAGCTTGGTTACGGCCCGTCACAGAAAGCACCCCTACCAGATGGAAAATTGTAAACTTATGCTTGAATGTTACACTAGTGTATATGAGTTCGCTCAGTATGGAAATAACGATATCCCGATACAAATCCAAAGATGTTTCAGTGGAACGTTGGCATGTCCCAAGAGGGTGCCTAACCTGTCGAGTGTGAAATAAGTCGTTTCACAACCGTCTGTGATATGTTGACCTGACAATTATACATTTCAAAAAACCGGTTGGACACTTCAAGGTTACCATGAGAAAAGGTTAAACTGCCAGCTCACGCGTTTTCAATCTCTGTTAAGCTCACGGCTGTATCAGAAAGATGGTGCACTATTATCCAGAAAATTGGAAATGAGTTTCGCATCAAGGGTTACAAACAAGATTTGAATGAATTTCCAATCGTGTA